GGAATAACCACTTAAGATCTTTCTGAGTGGAAAACCCCGCTTGCTGCATCCACACTTAGATGCTTCTTTCCATCTGCGGCTGCAGGTGAGTGGTGATAGAAACCAGCCCACCTTCTCTCAGTTACAGGGGATAGAAACTGATGTTTGATAAAGAACTTCTTTCCTGGACCTCTCAGGGTATTTTAGCAGAGTGGTTTTAAAACAATAGAAAATAGAAAGCAAATCTAAACAAAGCAAGAAACAGCTAGACTGTAGGCCACCAGTGAGCCTGCATCTCAGCAGCGTGCTGTGCCTGTCTTCCTGACTGTGACACTGGAGTGCCCTGCACTCCCTGAGACACCAGGGACCCACCTCTCTTTGCAATCTATAGCCACCAATGTGGCCTCTGTGGACTGAGCCTGCCACCCTAGGGCTTCCACTCCTGCCACCTTCATACTGAAGCCAACCACGGTGCACCCAAGCCAGAGCTCCACTCAAACATGGTGGATAATGACCCCCAACACCCCCGGTCCAGGTTTACAGAGCGGAAGAAGGGGTCCTGCAGGCACGGTTCAGCCAAAGTTCCTACAGGGGAGACACTATCCTGGGGGTGGTAAATGCAATCCCAAGAATGTAAGAGGAAGGTAGGGGGAGTTTGAACTCCTAAAGAGGGAAGACAATAACAAAGGCAAAGATTGGATAAGGCCACAAGTCAAGATGTTAGCCAAGAGAAGTTGAAAGAAACAAAAAGTGGATGTTCTCCCCCTCGAATACCTTGTTCCTAGCTCTCTAAGTTTCCTGGAGACTGCCGGCCTCCACAGTCTCAGGGAAGCAGCTTGTGCGGTGTTAAGATGCCGAATGTGTGCTGCTCCAGCAGGCCGATGAAGCTCATCCACGTACCAGGGTCATCTCCACCCTCCCTGGAGCAGGACCTCCAGGCAAGCAGGGGCCAGGATTCTGCCCCTCCTTTCCCTCTGGACACTTGGTCCCAGAAGGTCCCTATGGCATCTCACATTTCTAATATTTAAAAACTTGCTTCAAGACCAACTTCATAAACAGTTGAGATGGACGCTGGGGAACTCCGGTCATGACCACCTCTGGACAAGCGCTGAGCTGGAAGTGGCAAGATGAGGGTCACTCATCATTTTTCAGTTCCACAATTGACTCTGTTGGAGACCAAGAGAGTCTGTGAAGGGTCATTTCCAGGGCAGGAATCCCCCGTGCAATGGGCCAAACCAGTGGCCCCTTTTGTGACCCTCAGGTAGCTGGGAACTCGCTTTCTTTCAGGAATGCACACCCTGTCCCATGTCGGCCTGGACAGCAAACACTAGGGACAGAGGGGAGCTTCTGAGAAAGGACAGAGGAGCTTCTGAGAAAAGGCCAGGGCCGGCTCTGTGGGAGCACATGTCCAACTACCCACATCTAAAAGGCTTGTCATTCCTCACATCATGAGGTAGCTAGGTTCTGTGCCTGGTGGTCATAGTCTATGCTTGTGGGACTCTGACCCAGACCTGATCTCCCCACAGCATCGCTTTAGTCTTCCCGAGCGTTGGGTGCAGGCACCATCTGCTTTCTGCATGCAGAGGCAGTCGGATCTCTGCAATCGATTTTCTAGCAAGTGTCCCACGGCTGCTTCTTACCCACCTATGGGTCAGGCCCGGCTTTTCCACTTGCAACCTGAATCCTGAACAGTTGTCCCTCTACCCTGCCACCCCTCGCAGCTCCTGCCACCTGGCTTCTTTGTAAAGCTAGTTGCTTGAGTATCAGAGCTGGCGTGTGCTTCCTTTCCTGTCAAGCTCCATCTCCTTAGGTTCGATTCAGTTGCCCTTTGACCCTGCACCTTCACACCTGTGATCCTAGCCTGGGTTTCCTTCCTGCAAAGAGACCAGCAGCATTCTGCAATCAACTGTATAAACAGTCGTGTTGGGGAGCTAAAACCTTGGCAGGTGTCGCTGAACTGAGTCCACTTCCTGTCCCTTGAGGAGGGCAAAGAGCAAGGACACAGAGAGGAGCTCGCTGGGGCCCCATGCTTGAGAGCAGTGGGGGCCTGGGGGTAGAGCCCGGGGTGCACCCTGTGTGCACCCTGAGTGCACGCGGCTGTGGGAGAGGGAAAGAGGAGGAGGACGTCATGGGACTCACTGGGAAGGGGCACAAGGAAGGTGGCTGGGCAGGGGGCCACTGCAGTGATGGGGAACCAGGAAGAGGCCGCACCAATGCCTCCCAGGTGGCTCAAACTACTGTCCCAGACCTGCTTGTTATTCACGCCCTATTTTTCTGTTTCAGTGCCTAACATTCCTTGGAAAGGAGTCTGCCTTTTCAAATTCTGCAGAATGAAAGAAAGGAGAAAGGGTCCTGCAAAGAGGAAGCAGAGTCTCCTGAAACTGGAAAGCGGGGGGCGTCGGCTGGCAGAGGGCGGAGCGGGGCCGATGCCGTGCAGCAGAGGACCTGTACTTTCCATTGCACACTCTCAACAGCCACCGTGCCGGCAGAGGAGTCAGCAGGTGCTGAGACCTGGAAGTGAGAGGCTCTTGGCAGGAACCGAAAGCTGCCCACAGACAGCAGTGGGAGCCGGAGTGGTCAGCAGGCCCCTGACTGCAGCAGGCCTCGTAGGCTACTCTGTAGGCCCAAGCCTCACTCCATCAGCAGGAGCCAAATGCGGGATGCTGGGATCAGATGCAGGTTCCAGAAGGATCAGTCATTCTGACTGCAGGAGGACAAAGAGATGGCTTGGCAGGAGATGGGGTGCTCCGCAACAAAGGTGTTGACGCTGTGGGGTGAACTGACAGCCCCCAACATGCAGGAGCCTTGGAGAGGCCAGGAGTGGGTGGGCTTAGCAAGACTAGGATGAGACCCTGTGGCAGCGCTGCTGCAATCCTGCCTCTGGGGGCTCAGGGGAGTGCCGAGCTCAAGAGCCCTGCTCATGGGAGGGACGCGGTGGCCGGCTGGGACTAGAAAGTAGCCTGTTTCATGAGGCTATGTTTTCTAAGTCAAAGGTTTTATTCAAAATCAGCTGTGGTTTTCAGAAAGCCAGCTTGCAGCCGCTGGGCAGCCGTGCACAGAGGACAGCCCTCCCAGGGGGTCACGGCTCCCTGCACCTGAGGGCTAAGAAGGCGCTGTACATCTTTAGGGATCCGTGCTCCTGCCATCTGTCTGCTAGGGCTGGGGGGCCACCATGCCCTTCTGCTGGACCTGCCTCTGGCCTCTCCAGGCCTCTTTGCTGCTGGGAACTTCCCCCCAGCCAGCCTTTATTTATATTTTGGGTTTCTTGTGTAAGACAGAGAGGACAAAGAGATGGCTTGGCAGGAGATGGGGTGCCATCTCCTGCGGTATTTAAGATTATGTGTCTGACTTATCTCACTTACTGTCATGGCCTCAGGGTGCATACATTCTCCTAAAAATACCTCAAATTATCCTTCTTCTTGCCAGAGAAGTACTCCATTGTGCGTGAACGTCATGTTCTCTTTGCCCATTCATCTGCCTATGGACCTGGGGCTGCTCCCAAGACTCAGCCGCTATGATTTGAGCCCCTGTACTTGCGGGTGTACACAGACCCCGCGGTATGATGTCTTTAACTCTTTGGAGAAGGCACATAGAAGGGCCTGAGCAGGGCAGGCCTGGCCAGCACAGGGGAATGGTCCTTTCCATTTTTAATTTGTCAGACACCTCTGGCAACAGTGTCCCAGTGAGTCTCCCACGCTCAGCTCAAAATTGCAGTGCTCCTACCTTAGACTCCCAGGTGGCTGGGATGACAGGTATGCACAGATTGTGACCTCAAGCCACGGCATGGACACAGCCATCCAGGGCCTCCCTAGCCCCATCCTGCGCTCCCCACACCAGCCTGTCCCTTGGCTGTGTCCTTTGCTCTCTGTTGTTGCAGCCATTGTACCCCCATGAACTCTCTCTAGGTGCCCAAGCGCTGCCTCCCTCCTGACCCTGGCTTGGCTCCCAGCTGCCCCACCTCACTGCCGGGCCACCCAGCATGGCCCGGTTCCCTCTGTGGATGCCCACCTGATCTGCACCAGTGTGGAGGCCCACCTGAGCAGCTCTCCTGGAAAGAAGAGCGACTGTCTCCATTTTGACTGAGCCTGACCCTATTCCCGTGTATTGTTCTGTACAGAGCTGGCCAGGACTGCTGTTTACCCTTCAGTTGGCCTTAAGCAATGTATACTGGTCTAGCTGAGGTGCTGGTGATAGTCTTTGGAGGTGGTGTGCGTGTTTCCCTGGTAACCTATACCTGCTGCTCCTTAATGTGAGCCAGGTTGAGACAGGACAGTAGAGCTAATGCTCCGCACCGCCAGCTGGGATCGAGCCTCAAGACAGAGGCTATGACTTCCTGGGACTTGAAAGGCTACACCAGAGCTGAAGCACCAGACTTATCAAAACGTTAGATACTATATAATGCAGATTACTCTCTCTGCATGTCCTCTCTGCATATCGCAGAGGTAAATGTGGGCCACCCACCCAGCTCAGCTCATAGTAGTCTCTTTCCCACAGTTCTCAGTTAATCCTCAAGCCACTCCCCCACTGAATAAAACTGGGTGAGGCCCTGGGTAGCTCTCTTGGTGCCAGAAAGCCATCTTCATGGCTGGACTTAGAGCCCCTTGACTCCTCCCCTCCCCCCCCGATCATTGAAGATATAATTTAGTGTCTTTATTTTCGCCGTGGGTTGCATTGTAAGTGGTAGATTGGAATCAATTTCATGGGATTCCAATAACGTAACTTTGGGATTACAAATATTGGCTTCTTGGACCGAGACGAGGTCCAGGAAGTGTCTCCTACACACCAGCACCCACATTCCATTTCAATGTCCTGGCTCCAGGCATGGCACCCAGAGGTGCCCAAGTGTACGAGAGGCAGGACCTTCCATCCTGGTGGCCCTCCTGCTGCAGCTGCCGCCAGGACCACCCAGCCTCCTCTTCCCCTTGCCCACATGGCCCTGAGCTTGGTCACAGCTGCTTCCTGCCTGAGTCTCCTGGGAGCCTCTCTCCCTATGACCTGCTGTGTGGCTTTAGACAAATGACTCTCCCTCTCTGCACTTGAGGCCCTTGGCCTCAAATCCCTCCACTTCCTCCGCTTGCATCCCCCACACTGAACCTTGCCGCCTCCAGGATCTGCCCCGCCATGAAATCCTGACCATCTATCCCCTCTCTGCCGCAGGTTCTGGCACTTCTGGTTTTAACATCACACACACACACACACACACACACACACACGTACACACGCACACACACACACATACACCCACACACACACACGCACACACACGCACGCACACACCCACACGCACACACACCCGCACATGCACACGCACACGCACGCGCACACACACACACACACACATCCTGGCCAGACTGTGTGGCTTTAGACAAATGACTCTAAAGCCATTTGACCCAGCAACAGCGCTTCTCTGCTTTCACACCTGACTTCCTAGGTGTGAAGGCCCCCAAATCCATGCTGCCCCATCTCAGGCACCCTCTGCTCCCCAGCAAGGGGGCTGTATAATTAGAAACACAGGGTCCAGCCTGGCCCTGCCTCACAGCACAGGCTTGGATGCTACAGGGCAAACCAGGCAGCTCCCTCAAAGCCAGCTCAAATGGAAGGTGTCTAAAACCTCAGTATTCTAACACAATCAATCCTCTGGCCTTGCAGGGTTTCCCTGTGGTGAGACCTAACTCCACAGAATTTACTGCTGTGACGTCCAGGTGGGAGAGCGCGATGGCCCAGGTGCATCCGTGCTCTTGTGCAGCTGTCACCACTGTCACCGCTGGCACTTGTCATCAACGCAGCAGGAGCTCTGTCCCCGCCAAGCACAATGCCTGCCCCTCCTTGCTCCTGGCTCCCACTGCAGCTGCTCGTTTCCTTTCCATGAATCTCACGATCCTCAGTTCTCATCTAAGTGCAAGCATAGAG